AAAATAAAAGCACTAATAGGTTTAGTTGGTGAGGCACTGAGGCTAGGCATAAGATACATAATTGATAAAAATTCAAAATAGTTATATATTTCAACCCAAAATTTGTAGAAAAACACAAAAAATCGCAAATATTTTAGATACACAGAAAATTATAAAACTTTCCAAAAAAAAAAAAAAACAGCTGATCTGAGTTTTGGCTTCTCTCAAAATCTACTTAAATTTTCCATGATAAGCAACCACTCTTGTTTGAAATTGTCAGCAATCAATTCAATCCTCTTTATGCAAATTTCCCTTACGTTTTAGGTGTGTAAATTTTCCTTCATGAATTCTTCACTTTTCTTATTCTCTCAGTTGAATTAATTCATGGACCAGTATAATTTAATGTGTCTAGACTATTAAATCTGTTCAAATTGGTTTTAATTTAGATTGGTTCCAATCCAGACCTGTTTCATTGATGCCTTTGTGTTCTTATATTCTATCAATGGACCAGATATTGGTTCAATCTGACCCAATTCAATATAAATCTATTTTGAATTGACTAGGTCCAATCCAATACAATAAATACTTTAGACCATTATGTTTGGACTGGTCCAATTCAATATCTTATGGATTCATCCAATCCGTCCAAATTAACTTTGATTTGAATAGGGTCCAACCCAAAACCGGTCCATTGACACCTCTAGTGAGCAATAGCCACCAGTTCACCAACCATTTTCGAATAGCAAAGCTAATCTGGTTAATGGAACAGAAAGTGGGTAATCTCTTGGGTGAACCAACAAATTAAAGAGTATCAGAACTTGTCGATTGTTGATGTTGGGCATTTTCAATACTAGCGGGGACTCTGTGATGCACAGGTTTTGTTAAACAAAAGTTAAACAATAGAAACACATAGGAGTATACAATGTTTTAGATTTTAACTTTTAAATAATTAATAATTACTTATATTTTATATACTACTTTTAATATTTTTTTACAATACAATAATTTATTTCAGCTAGACTTGTTCATTAAACCGATGAAACCAACCCATCCCAACTTAACCCAAGTTGGTCGATTTTCTAATATTTTTGATAGGCTTCAGTTCAATAATTTCCCAATATAACCAGGTTGGGTTAGTTTTGGTTTGGCCATTTGTAAACAGACCAAAATTGAATTGACCTGACCATAGATATATATTAATATTTTCAATATAGGAAAGTGGAAAATTTCCCATATTTCTTAGTCTTAAATATTTTACGTTATAAATTTAATTTTTTAATTTACTTTTTTAATAATACTACTATAATTTTTTAAATCTTTTGAATCACCATCTAAATTGAAAACCGGTTCAAACTGATACAACCCAAGTTGGCCAGTTTTCACTAATGGTCGGTTAGTTTCGGGTGACCAACTCCCCAACTCGACCAGGTCAATTCGGTTGGCCAAATAATTTGCAATGGAGTTGAACCGACCTATTAACGCTCCTAATTTCAGCCAAGTTAATATTCTAATCTCCAAAAAATAATAATAATTTAATCTCCAATAATTATTGATAATTTATAGCGAAAATAAACAATTGTTGAAAATAAATTTATGACAAAAATACAATAAATAACTAAAAAACATTAAATATAATAATTAAAAAATAAATATAATAAAATGTTTAAAATATTTTATTATTTAAATTTTATTTATTTTAAAGTTATTACATAATATTAAATATTTTAATATATAATTATTTATCTATTTTAATAGTTTTTATTTAAAATATTTAGTTCTTGAAATATTTAGATACTATTTTTTTTATTTTTATTAGTTCAATAAAATTTAAATAATTTTTTATTGAAATTTTTTTATTTATAAAATTATAATTTACATTGTCATTACATAATTTCATTATGAATTTCATAAAAATATAAAATTATTAATAATATGAACATTATCAAATCTATTTCAATTTTTTGTATTTTTTATGAGTTTTTTAAATTTATTACATAGTTTTTTTATAATATTTAAATAATTATTGAAATTTTTACTTTAAACTTTTTTTAGATAGATATAAATGAAAATTATTAGAGAGGATAAATAGGAATTAGAGATAACTTAGGAGAGAAAACATTTCTTAAATTAGAGATAATTTAGGAAATAAATAGGAATTAGAGATAATCAAAGATAATTTAAAAGAAAATAGGGGACAATGGTGCCAAGTTGTTGGATTGGGCGTGTAAAATAGATTAAGAGGTGTTTAGGAGGAATTTTAGGTGAGAGAAATAGTTTAAGAGAAATTTTAGGAGGGGGTTGGATAAGTGATTAGGAACATGAGAGAGAGAGGGAGTTGGAGTCAGGCTCTAGTGAAAAGGAGAGAGCTGCCACGTGGCTACATTGAATGGCTGGGAAGAGGTAAGGGAAGAAGGAGATTAAGTCCATGGTTTCTCCTTAGTGCTTTTTTGTATAGATACAAAAAAGTATACTTCATTATATATAAGTATAGATACAAAAAAGCACTAATAGGTCCGTTGTTGTAGAATGATCATCACAAAATATCAAACCGTTGCTAAAAGTGTATTTCTTTTGATGAAAGCCATTACAAAAATAAAAAAAATTAATGTCACCTGTTATTGTATGATAAAACCTATACAAACTTATACAAAATATTCATAGTAGTCTTGGTTCAATACACACTTTTAATAATTTTTTTTCACCACCCAAAAAAAAAGAAAAGAGAATTAACACAATTATCCTCATTGCGTCTAGATAATTGATTATATGCACGTGCATCATACTCACGACCTTCACTTTGGATCATAAACTTCAGCCTGTCATGTTCAACAAAAATGAATACATAAGGATTGATGCCAATAGTTAGATATATAAATTAAATAATGTAAGAGTTTTATATATATGCATTATACATTACCATTGATTTTACCCATGCAATGTGAGATCTAACTGTATCTCCAAGAATTACCATATTACCACATTTCCTCAACAAAAATAAGTCATTAATCATTATTGATTTTAAGGATATTTTGTACCATCCATGACCAAGTGATTCATCACCCATCACCTTTTGAGGATCTTCATTAACAAGTATACCTCTTGCCACCTCTTTCTTCAACTTCCCTATTTAATTGAGAATTTGGGACTTGCTGCACTCGATTTGTTTGAGATTGTTTTCTTTTTGATGCCCTAGAAAAAAAAAATTCAAGGGAATCAAAATCAGATGGTGCAACAAAGAAAGCCCATCTATGGTGTGGCCCTCAATATTCAGTCTTTCTTGAGGTGTGTCCCTCAATGCTAGATTGATAAGATCAAGTAAGTTGAGCACATAGTTCATAGATCATCTAAACCATTCACTCAAATATGAATCATTAAATGAAATGTAATTAAACTATGATTAGACGAATCAAATTCATAACTGAAGCAAATCTTAGCCCAGATCAATGTAATTAAACTATGACAAAGAGAAAATGTATTAAGTGTAAATATATATATATATATATATAAGAGAGAGAGAGAGAGAGTGAACAATCCTCAAGCATGCAGAAAAAGTGTGTCAATATACATGCACAACACATGATCATTCAACTCCTCTACATAAGATCAAAATAAGATGGCTGGCTGATGATCTGAAAAATGATATGAGGTCGGCCAAAAACAAATGAAATGAGGTCGGCCAACTCAACTCAACTCAACTAATAACAAAAGGTAAACACTTTTAATGGACCTGCTCTCAGCCATGACTGGTTCAAAGCCATGGCCTAAAGGGTACTACTACCCAACTCAATTCAACAAAGCTTGTTGCAATTATATGAGGTCGGTCAACTGTATCCTGTTCTGTCATTTCATTTCACTCTTTTAAGTTCATCAATAGATAGTAACTGAAAAAGATCAGATCTCTAAGTTACTCTTTCAGAAAAACCAGAGGTTAATAAAGAAAAAGAACAAGAGCCCAAATATCAGTTACTGAACAAGCTGCTGAACTAAATGCATTCAGAGTTTTGGAATGCCCTAGTCAGGAGAAATTGTTAAGGGTCTTAAATACCAGAATTTTGGTATTTTGTCCAAACAGCTTCACCACTGCTTGCAGTACCAGAACCACAACCTCCAACCATAACCATATATACACCTGACCTGAGCCATTCTCAAAAGAAAAACCTACCCTGTGCAAGTGGACACCATGACCCCAAAAGTTGAGGCTACTTGGGCTTCATTGAATAGAGATGGCTGTAGCCTAGTTAGTGTACCAGTCCTGGGCCTATAAGATAAGCTCACTTTAAGTTTCAACAACCAATAGTATGAAGACAGAGAGAGAGAGAGGGAGAGGGTTTGAAAAGACCAAAGTAATCACACGCACATCCTACCATGCATTGGGAACATCTCCCGTACTTATAAGTTATTATTCACAGGAGGTGTTCCCAATGCATGGTGGATGTGCCTGTGATACACCCATGTGTGAGGAGCAGAACCCGTTCCACAGTGCACATGCACCAGACTTATCAGAAAAAGAGTCCCGATCTACTAGAGATTGAAGACTTTAGCCCGTTGTACACGTCTTGTTTCTAGTTTCTAAGTAGATCTGGACTTCCAGAGTCTCACCCATATCAGTGGGTCTAGCTTGGGCTTTAGAGTTTAGACTAGTGGGTGATCCTCAAATGGGCCTCCCTGCTTTGTTCTTTTCAGAATGTCTGAATTTTGATGTACAAGCCTAGGGGGTCAAGCCCAATTATCTAGAATGGGCCCGTGAGAATGTGGGAGTCCAGATCCAATGGCATTTCGGGCACAATTTGACATTGTTTTAGTAAATCTGAGGGACTTACTGCCTTTGTTTTAGTTATGATGCTTATGCTTTCAGCACATTTTTGCTACATCCGGCAGTCCTTTGAGGCCACATGTCATGATTCTACTGGTCCAAACATGAAGGCCTAGCTTAATTGTTGCACAGAATTCTCACAATTTCCTGTATGTTTCTGGGTTAAATGTTGATAGGTAGCTGCTGGTCTTTCTCTTCAACTGGAGCAATGGAAGGAACAAATGCCAGTCACAGGAGACCTTATCAGCCTTTGGAACAAGAGCTTGTAGACTGTGATAAAACCAATTATGGATGTGAAGGGGGCTACATGGATTATGCTTTTGAGTGGATCATTAACAATGGAAGGATTGATACAGAATCAGATTATCCTTACACAGGAGTTGATGGAACCTGTAACACTACTAAGGTCTGCTCTCCTAACCACTTCTTACTCAAAATTTCTAATACCTGTCTTGGTTCTCACCTCCACTGAAATAAGTTGGTCCTAATGGACATGCATCTGCTTAAGGCAGATTCCTGTGATTCTATAGTAGTTCTTTACCACAACACTGCTTCAATAGAATTTGTTCTCTGTCTAATCTATATTTGTTCTGTTGATTAGGAGGAAAGAAAAATAGTAACTATAGATGGCTATGAAGATGTAGCTGAAGAAGAAAGTGCTCTTCTCTGTGCTGTTGTTAACCAGCCTGTTAGTGTGGGGATTGATGGTTCTGCACTGGACTTTCAATTGTATACAGGGGTAAGTTAAAAACATAAAGATTTTATAAGTGAACCATTATATTCATATCACCAAAAACCTGAAATTGTATACAGGGGTAACCAGCTCTTCTGTTTTAATGCTTTTCTACAACTAAATATATTAACTAACGTAAAGACCAAAACAATTCAAATAACAAAGCAATTGGGTAGTTATATTAACTCCTGTGAGTAACACGTCTTGGTGGTTTTATAACTAATATTTCTACCTTATTTTGTTGGGTTCGACTATGAGAAAAATAACTGACCAAAAAACTGAAATCATAACATTAAGGTGGATACTTCCCTATTCTTTTATTAATTTGGTGGGGCCGGGTAGGGGGTCAAAGTCAAATACAAAACATACTAAAATTTAATAAAGTCATAAATCATGTAGTAATTAGTTATAGAACCATGGTGACAAATTGACCTAACATGCATCCATAAGAATTTAAGGTAAGACCCACCCATGTCAGTTACAACCCAAAAGGTAAGGCAAAGAAAGAATAACACAAAATAGAATATAACAAGTCATACACAGAATTCTGAAACACACCAGATATCATAGCCTACATGAAGAACAACCTAACTCATAAACCAAGTTCTGATACCAAAAATTCGGTCTGCATTGACTGTAATTCCAAGATTTCGATTTTCCATATTATAAAACCAGGATAATTTGTGCATTCAGCAGAGTAATATAAATTAATTGAGACATACATATCCAAAGCACAAAGCAAAACCAAATCATAAAAATTAAGGTAGGTAAAACACAAAACCTATGATATACAAGTCTATTTAATTTTTCTACTGCAAATATGATCCAACCTAAGGGACCACAAAGTACAGAAAGTACAGCCCTGAGAGAGAGAGTCCATAAAGTCAACATAACGATTAAGAATAAGGGAAAGAATTAGCTAGATTGGCCCGAATATTACGTGTAAGACCAACCTTTTAAAGTTTTAATGGAGGGTCATCAGTTGTTCACGGCTGCAAACCCACCATTTTGATTAGCTCAACCATGTTACTGGTCTACTCCAACAGTGAGCTAGCTAGCTTAAGTAGTGCTGAAATAAACATAGAAATCAAACAGTTCTCATCTTCCTCATCATCATGTCTCATGGCACACTAGCAGAGAGCAAAACAAGAAAATTTCTCTCTTCTACTCTTCCTCCTCTTCATTCTTTGTTGTGGAACTGACCCTTCAAAGAAAAACAGTACTGGGCTGTTACATGACCACTACCCAATTGACCTAATAAAGTCAAAACTTCGAAACCTCTCCAAAGTTCAAACTATTTCTTGTAGCAATGTCAAACTAATAATGTGGGGAAGGTGGATTGTGGCCAAACCCACTCTCCAGTTTTACTTTCCACATATCATCAATTTGTGAGTTCTGGAACGGATGGATAAAATGAAGGCCTTGTTCCTTACTGAACAGTTTATCAAGATTTTAATAAATTAAATTAAATCTGGTTTTCACTTTTCAGCGGTTCTCTCTGCTTTGGATTGGGCATTTGGACCCACTTCCTATTCAGATCCTACAAATAGCCAAAACTGCTGTAACTTCTCCCATCCCATCAATTCCCATTTCTCTCTGGTACAAGCCTCCTCATCTCCATCTCTTTCTATGATAGCCTTTAATTGATTTTACTAGTTCAGTGAGACAGGACTCTTAAGAATATGTTTGATTTGAAGGAAAAGGTAGGGAAAGGAAGGGAAACATAGGGAAACCTATGCAAGGTTTGTAAAGGGAGGGTTTTCCTACATTTCCCTTTCTTTCCCTACTTTTTCCTTCAAACCAAACAAAGCCTAAATGGTTGGAAATAAGGTTGGAAAACTCATGGCTAATGGGAGAGAACAGGGATAACTTAGTAGAGTTACTTATCAGGTCATTTGAGTTTTCCAACTGTAATTAGAAATTCTAGTTATTGGTGAAATGCAACTAATTGGAAAGTGGAACTAATCAGTTTTCTGAGCTGTCAGATTGATGGTAGCCATACTCACAGATTATGACAAATAACAAAATGCAGTGAGATCTTATGTATTATAAACACCCGAATGGGGGCCCTGAAAAGGGTCCCATCCACACACTCTGGGCCTCTGGAATCTGGGCCCCTGAGCAATAGGGCGTAGAAAACTGATAAAATAAAAACCCTTGATAGTTGATATAATTAATGTTCATGGGTTTCCATTTTTATTAACTGAAAAGCACATGTGGGTACCATACCAACCAATATTAATATTATGCCTTGATTGAATAAACTGATAAAGCATTAAGCTATTTCTCTTGTCAGTTCTCAGGAGTTGTTTATTGGTCAGTGTAGAGCCTTTGGGAACTAACTTATCTTTCTAAACTGAATGTTTTGCAGAAGAAGAGGCCTCAACAGTTCGACTCCTTTGGAACCAGACAGCTATTCTTGTATTTTAGATTACATTAAGAGACTTGTGCCAGTGCTGTGACTGCTGGGGACCTGATCAGCTGTTTGAAGGAGTTGTTAGAGACCATTGGGACATGTTTGGGTTCAGAAGATTGGAGCTCATTCATGATCCTATTTTGGGCTCTACAGGAGAAAACTAATGTCTTGTGCATTGTCTCAAGGGAGAAATATAATTGGATCAAACACACAAGACAGTAGGGCAACTTGATTAATTGGCAATGGTGTATATCCAATATCATATAAAGCATGTCAATAGCACATTCCGTGGCATTTCAATATTAGAAAAGACAGCCAAAACAATAAACAAATTAAACAATGAAGTTATTACTTACATTCTTTTCCAAAGCAACCTAGATGTCACAAAGCCCAAACAAAATGCCTTATCAATATAATCAATCCTATAAAATCATAACAATCAATATAAGTAAATAATATTAGGGATAGGATAAAATAATTGTAGTATCAGAAATGAAATCATTTAAAGGAACCATATCTTAATATCTCAATTTAAATCAAAATGAATTTGAGCAGATTCGAGGTCCAAACATTGAATTGGACTCATCCAAATTAGTCCCATAAATTTTCTCCCTTTCCCATAAATTTGCATGCAGGCACACATGAGAGATGAGAAAGAAAATTCAATCAACTAAACTAAAGAAAAAAAAAAAAGAAAACAAGAGAGCAGATGTTAGGTACGATTGGATCGTGGTTTTGAATTAGGGTAAAATTGAATTTTTCTCAGCACAAAGATTTAAAGTCTTTTACCCTATTTAATATTAATTTGTATTTATAAAATAATTAACAATGTTTTGGAGATAAGGGATCATCTCCGTATGAAAGATAAGAAGGGAGATATTTCCAATACGCATTTACGCACCACTACTCTCGTCTGAATGGGGATGGGGCCTGGGAGAAGAGTTTTGCTGGTTGGGATATGGGCTAAAAGAAGGGAGCTGTCTGTTTTTATGGTCTGACCAATCAGATCTATTGTTGTTGTCCATGTCCATAGTAAAACGTGGAAAGTGACAAGACATCCAGGCCATTAGGCCATGCATTTACAGCTGCCTGTTTTTAATGGCGGTGACAGACACGTCTTACTTATGTCTGTGACAACTGCACCAAATCTCAAACCGCGTCAGTGCGGGAGAAGGGACAATTCACAATTGTTCATTTGTTCTACAGTCAACTACCTAATAAAAGGCCATTAACCATAAATCAATCACACTTCACACAGAACTTACAACCAGTTTCTCATTCTTCCAGTCCTACTATTCTAATCTCCGCTCAACAATTACCTATGGATTCTTCTTCCTTTCTTCTTCTCATGGGTTTCTCTTAAAATCTCTGTTTTGTTTTCTGGTTTTGAGCTCTTTAGCTATTGCTACTGTTTCGACTAGTAATTTCTACCAAGACTTCGACATCACATGGGGCAATGGTCGAGAAAAGATACTCAACAATGGGGAGCTTCTCACTCTGTCCCTTGACAAGGCCTCTGGCTCTGGCTTCCAATCCAAGCACGAGTACCTCTTTAGTAAGATAGACATGCAGTTCAAGCTTGTCCCTGGCAACTCAGCCGGCACGGTCACGGCCTACTACTTATCATCTCAGGGATCGACCCATGATGAGATGGACTTCGAATTTCTCGGCAACCTCAGCGGTGATCCCTATATTCTCCACACTAATGTCTTCAGCCAGGGGAAGGGAAACAGGGAGCAACAGCTCTATCTTTGGTTCGATCCTACAGCAGACTTCCACACTTGTTCCATTCTCTGGAACCCCCAACGCATTATCTTCTCTGTATGGAATAACCCATCAGAGAATTCAAGAATTCAGTATCCAATGGAAATTCTTTATAAATAAAAAGCACACAAACCAATCCCAAATTAGGGTGTATCGATCAGAAAAATAAAATCCCAAATCATAAATGGTATAAACTCATCATCGATATACAAATCAACGGGTGAAAAAGAAGTGAAAAAATAATCTTTGTGGAGAATCTTGTATCATTATGCAAAGGCACAACCATATATACACCTACCGTTTTTGTTAAAATGTCAGCCCACTGCTCGCCACTTTTAAGGACAATAGGAATTTTTTCATCCACTTCAATTCACATTATATCTTAGCCTTAGGAGCGCGATCGTTGTGACAACGGGCAGCTTGCCCAATCAGAGTCATAATAAGCATACAAGTGCAAATCGCTATCGGCAATACTATACCTTGTCTAAGATATCATTTCATATATTGCACTACACATAGAGCTGCCTCCCAATGTTCTTGCCGCGGGCTTTGCATGAATTGGGTCAGCATATGAACACAATAGCACAACTCAGGTCGTGTGATGGTTAAGTATATCAACCTCCCTACTAGTCTTCGATACTGATTTGGATTGTGCATTAGAACACCCTTGGCCAACGCAAGATGATGATTCTGTTCAATGGGCACTAACATTGGTTTGGCTCCCAATAGCCCACATTCCGAGATAATGTCCAGGGCATACTTTCGTTGAGATAAATATATTCCATTAGGACCACGAGCTACTTCAATACCTAAAAAATATTTGAGTGGACCCAGA